TAAGATTACTTCATGACAAGTCCCCCTAGCCTCTTCTTCCAGCCAGATTACCTCTCTTCAGCCCCTACTGTATAAATCTTCGGCAACCACACCTGCCTGTAGTGTACGTGACTCTTGGTTGTCATACTACCTACAGCGCACGTGACTCACTTGTCACGCTACCTGTAGCGCACGTGAGTCGCTGACAACTTTCCACAGCATAGCAGAAATGTGACGTGATAGTGATGCTGCTATCCTATCTCAGCTCATTTCAAGGCCCAGCCAGTCTTAATAAGTTTATTACCACCTCCGGAATATACCACGCACACCAGTCAGCTAACGCCCAGGTACCTATTTACTACTAGGTCAACAGATGTAGCAGGTGTAAGACTCGCCCGGGAGCCAAACTCAGGAGTCCTGCGAGTCAAGAGCTCTTTCACTGAGGATCTTGTAATTTGTGAAGGGTCAAATGGTTTTTTGGCTTTGCTGGTTCACGGAAAAACACCTTCAAGATAATGATGAAAGGCAGAAAGATAGAGTATGTGATAATTATACAGAGTAAGAGAGTAATTCTGGAAGAATGAGCGAGTAATGTTATTAAAGAGAGTGGGTGGAGGTGATGACAGTGGAAACAGTGTTGAAGTCTTTTACAGTAGTAATGAAGGGAATGTATGCGCGCGTGTTGGTGACTTGAGTTTTACTGAGGGGGAGCGGTGAGAAATCTAGAAAGTAAAACTGATAACTGCTATGAAGAGTTCTGTCCGTGGCTGTTATTCGTGTTAGGCGGAAGTCCACCAACGCACAGACGTCCGCGAGGAAACAAGGACATAGTGGAGCTTCGAGGAAACTCTCCAGCTCACCGCTCCTTCATGAAGGTGACGCTGGACCGCTTGGCCACGTTGTTTCTCCGTTACCTCTGTTCATGACCCTCGTTCCCTAGCAAATGTTTACAGTTCTTGCAAGATGATATTACATATTCACTACAATCCCGAATTGGCGAGATATTGGCGAGATATTTACAATTTAACAAAACGGAAGCATAATTCACAGCAGGTGGGAAAAAACTTACAAAACTTGAATACGATATTTGTATACAATACCAAATTGATAAGTAAGACACATTTGTAACACTTAACTATCTCTATTCTGAATAAATATACCTAACTGTAAACTTATTAACTACATTTACTGAAACACAATCAACGTTTTAGGTTCACTGTGCTTCGAAAAAGGTTCCACGTCCTTGTCAGGACCTGACTACCAGTGATTGGTTGCAGTGCTGAGTTACACTGTTGATAGTTGCACTGTTGAGTTACATTGCTGAGAGTTATACTGTTGAGAGTTACACTGCTGATAGTTGCACTGTTGGCTTACACTGCTGATAGCTACACTGTTGAGAACTGCATGCTGAGTTACATTGCTGAAAGTTACACTGCTGAGAGTTACGCTGTTGAGAGTTACACTGTTGAGTTACACTTCTGAGAGTTACACTGTTGAGAGTTACGCTGCTGAAAGTTACAATGTTGAGAGTTACATTGCTGAGTTACACTGTTGAGAGTTACACTGCTGAAAGTTACACTGTTGAGAGTTACACTGCTGAAAGTTACACTGTTGAGAGTTACACTGTTGAGAGTTACACTGTTGAAGTTACACTGTTGAGAGTTACACTGTTGAGAGTTACACTGCTGAAAGTTACACTGTTGAGAGTTACACTGTTGAGAGTTACACTGTTGAGAGTTACACTGTTGAAGTTAACTGTTGAGAGTTACACTGTTGAGAGTTACACTGCTGAAAGTTACACTGTTGAGAGTTACACTGTTGAGAGTTACACTGTTGAGAGTTACACTGTTGAAAGTTATACTGTTGAGAGTTACACTGTTGAGAGTTACACTGCTGAAAGTTACACTGTTGAGAGTTACACTGCTGAGTTACGCTGTTGAGAGTTACACTGCTGAGTTACGCTGTTGAGAGTTACACTTTTGAGAGTTAAACTGCTAAGTTATACTGCTGAGTTACAATGCTGAGTTATACTGCTGAGTTATACTGCTGAGTTAAAATACTGAGTTATACTGCTGTGTTACAATGCTGAGTTATAATGCTGAGTTACACTGTTGAGAGTTACACTGCTGAGTTACACTGCTGAGTTACACTGCTGAGAGTTACACTGCTAAGTTATACTGCTGAGTTATACTGCTGAGAGTTACCTCACACCAGTTATAACCAGATAATTTAATTTTAATATTATCACTATTACTCTCAAGGTGAAGCGATAAACCCTTAAGTGTCACACAGTTCCTGGGGAACGAGAGGTAATAAAATTAGATCCCAGCAGAGGGCAGCCCCGAGTCTTTGGATCAAGAACTCTTCACCAGAGAATCACTAATAGCCACTGAATATAAAATATCAGTGGGATATATTAAGCAGTGGTTGTCAAAAGGTGCCGGAAGCCCAACTGATGCCAGTTCGGGTATCGTTGGCTTAGTGCCTAGTCTGGTTTAAGTCAATTCGTAGAGTAAAACCATAGTCTCTCTGGCTTACTTTATAAAAAAAAGCAGCTTTTAATAATTGTTAGTGACTCCAGACCCGTGATGAGTTGTAAATACTGTTCCAGGTTTGTGACTGTGCGTCCTTACTGGTGACCGGTACTGTGAGTGTCCTTGGAGACCTGTTCTTTGAGTGTCCTTGTTTGAGACCCGTTCTGTAAGTGAATAATTTGTCCTTTCAGTAGACCAGGCCCATAACAGTAATATCCAGAGAACATCTGTCGGCAGAATTCTCTCTCTCTCTCTCAGGCCACACTAACAGTGACTTGTCAGATACCAGGTGTGTGAGTGGCCTCAATAGTCGTGTTTAGCACCTCGAGGGTGCCAGCAGACGCTCGGGTAGCCAATAGTTCACCACACAGTCGCTACCGAACATTTTTTTAAGCACAATTGCTTTAATAGTTATTGTTTATATCAAGCTAGAGGCAGTGTTGAAGAAGCCTCTTCCCTCTCCCTCCTCCAGTGCTGTGAAAACCTCTTTCAGTGTTGAGGAAGCCTATTTAAGTAACACTCATGCTTACGTTGGTCACTCATCACAACGGATATCACTTCGGCTTCACCTTACGGACTGTGGCAGTGACTGTACATGTCTTGAATAGGTCTATGGTAGTGACTTCGGAGCCACACTACTGCCATGGCCACACCACCAACTTTCCACGCACCCGCATAAAAGAAGACTGCAACCAGTTGTGGCGCAAGGGAGGATTTGCGGGGGCTTCGACCCCCAGACATAAATAGTAATAATAACAGCGCTGCTTCAAAACAAGTCTCCCAGCCTCCCTTCCGACCAGGTAACAGAATATAGAAATTCTGGCGCCGCCCTTGACTGCAACATATTGTGGTAAGCTACAGGACTGGTCCAAGAAATGGCTACTGAACTTCAATCGCAGCACATGCAAGGTGAAGAGGTCTGAGAAGAATAACACCAAAGAGAGAGAGGCAGCTCACATAATCTAAAAGGCAGTAGGACGCATGGGTAGTCATAACACACATCCATTAACTACCATTGTAAATTTTTGAAGGAGTGGACCGGTAAGCCAGCTGAAAGCCTCGGTCAAATGACCGAAAACTCCAGTGGAGGGGCACCATATGAGTAAGAAAAGAAAAAAAACAGGACAAGCGTTTCCTGACGACTCTTAGCCAACCTAACCACACCTCTCGCCTGGTATGAACACAATAAGATAACATCGGGGAAAAATTGAAATGCCTTCAGAAGGAACACAAGCATGGAACACTCTTCTTATCTTGCATGAGAAAGAAACTTGAGAAAGTTCTGAGGTTTGCTGCAAGACTGGTCTCAGAACCACAGAGGGTTGAGCTACGAAGACATGTTGAGAGAGCAAGATCTTACATCACTTCAACCCTTGAAGGGAGGGTGGGGTGGAGGTGCCTGGCTGCTGGTGGAGGTGCTTGGCTGCTGGTGGAGGTGCCTGGCTGCTGATGAAGGCCACTTGATCAAAAGCACTGGACTTACCCTCCCTTTCCCACCCGACTGCCTCCCGTTCTCCAGGTTCCGTATTACCCTTAGAACTGGAAGAGACATAATGAAAATTTATAAGATGGTTTGATAGAGACAGACTGTTTGAGATAATGAGGGGGGATAACCGAGAACACAACGAGGGAGCACTACGTGGGAAGACGAGGGAACACATCAAGGGAACACTACGTGGGAAGACGAGGGAACACATCGAGGGAACACTACGTGGGAAGACGAGGGAACACATCGAGGGAACACTATGGGAGCAGACCATCGGGGACACTACGTGGAAGACGAGGGAACACATCGAGGGAACACTACGTGGGAAGACGAGGGAACGCATCGAGGGAACACTACGTGGAAACACCACTTGTAAACACGGTTCTACACTAGAAGTTCAGACAATCAATGGTATGCATTAGAAAGAAATGTTGGGGAGGCGGCCAAATCAATACAAGGATACAAACGAGGAGATGACAAAGAGTCTGGAGGAGCAAGAACGAGCCGCATTAATCTGAGAGGGAAATAAGCGCACACTTTCAAGTTTTCCCAAGAGTTCTGCAGGTGTGGCAAGAGTCAGAGAGCAGGAACTTCTCTCTCTCAGCCTCACACGGAAATTCCAGCTTGTGTCTTGTGTCTGGACCTTCGATCGCTGTACATAAATAACCTTCACATAAGGGAATGAAATTTATAACGACTTGTTACCCCGTCATAACTTTCATTCTACGTGCGGATTATTTGTGTATTGTTCCAGTCACGGTATTATACCTTTTAATTCTTTTTCAATCTTTGACTTAGGTTGTACTGGGTCAGGTCAGATCCTCTGACCAGACACACTCCACTAACACACAGGTTTCCATTATCATTTTTTTCCACACTTCGCAATCATGATACAGAAATATTTTTAGGTTCTATTAATCCCGAAGAATCAGCATGTACGGTCGAGTCTATGTGTTTCCTCTTTGTTGTTTTAATGAAACAGAGTTTAGAAAGGCACTTACAGTTAGCAAGCAGTGGCAGCAGCAACCCGCTCCACCTAGACACTGTAGTTCACCTTCTCACTGTGTCAGGTGAACACTCGTGCTCCTCCAGGTGAACTGACCACCTCAGTTTGCCTCTCTGCAGCCCAAACTCTCGTACCGGGTATTCGTATAAGTCAAGTGGCCTCCAGTTCACTCTGAACAACTTAGTCCATCATAATGCATTACCACCCCACTAAAGGACATGCTATTTTTTTTTAAGAATCAGGAAATATGCTTTATTTGCCAATATCCCCCAGTAGCTTCAAGGAATGAATTGAAAACAAATATTTGTCAAGATGCTTGTTAAGAATTTATCTGTTTTCCTTAGACCGTATTATAAATTCTTTAATTCAAGCTAATTTACATTTTTTTTCCATTCTCGTAAGACTGGATACTGTACACACTTTAGTTACCGATGAATCTGAATCTCAAAATATATTCAACTTTCTTTAATAATTCAACATGAAATTTTACGTAAATCTTAATGAATATAGACTAGGGAGCTCCGTAGCTCAGTGGTAGCGCCTTCAGCTCACCCACAGAACCTACGTTCAGTCACTGACTAGCAGAGACAATGGGCAAGTCTTTACACATGTTGTCCCTGCTCATCTAACAGAAAATAGGAAGCTGATTGCAAGTCGATTGTTCTGGGTCGCATCCTGGAGAGTGACAGTATACCTTAGACTGGGCTGGGCTCTGAAGTTAGCTGAAATTGGATAATACTCCGCAAATTCAACAAAAGAATAATGAAGAAACAATTACAGACCTGTATCAATTACATATATAATCTGTAAAGTGCCAGGAAAGGTACTCTGATAGCGATGATTGTGGAGAGGAAGAAGTGCCTCATTGTGGAAAACGACCACGTATTTATGGCTGGGAATTCTTGCTTCATGAACCTGCTGGTATCCTAGGACAGAATATCGGAAATTAAGCAAGAGAGGGAAGGGTTGACTACAATTTTCTCGCTCTGCAGGAAGGCATTTGACACAATACCACAGCGGAAATTGATTCATAATTTAGAAAAGCATGAAGGGATACGATGAAAAGAACTCAGATGAATTAATGATTAGTGAGAGACGGTAAGGGAGGGAACTTAAGATGGGCAAAAGTAGCAGGTGAGGTTTCCCTTGCACTCTTGTATTTTCCAGTGCGCATAAATGGCCTTCCAGGGAAAATGGAGAGGCTACAAGAAAACTTGGAGAGTGTGCAGGAAACAGTAAACAAATAATAAATGACCTGGGAGAACTGGGATCTACACGGAGAACCATAACACATGAAGGGCATGAATTATGAAGGTGGAAAAGCAAGACGCCATACACTAGCATGTCAGAGATATGACACGAGAGGGGAAAGAATGAGAGAGAGAGAAGAGAGAGAGAGAGAGAGAGAGAGAGAGAGAGAGAGAGAGAGAGAGAGAGAGAGAGAGAGGAGAGAGAGAGGAGAGAGAGAGAGAGAGAGAGAGAGAGAGAGAGGAGAGAGAGAGAGAGAGAGAGAGAGAGAGAGAGAGAGAGAGAGAGAGAGGAGAGAAATGAGTGAACCAGTATGACAAAACCTGGTATTTACCTTGAGGGCATCCGTTATAAATTGCTAGTACCCCTAGGTACTAACAACCACACATAACTTAGTTTTAAATGCCTCGTGACAGTAAACATGGAGAGGAGCACAACAAGTGTAGAAAGAAAAGCATATTTCACAAGTGACCATGTTAGGACAAGGGAGTTCCTGAATGCAGTACAATAGGAAGGTGAACTAGAAACAGAGACCATGAATGAGATGATACAGTACTGAGCAGGGAATTCATACCCAGAGAGAAAGCGATTCACCCCAAGACGCAGAAAAACAAAAACTAGAGGTGTGAGAGAATGGAAAGCTACAGGAAATTAAGAACAGCAGAAAACTGGAAAGTGAGCAGAAGGGCTAGAAATGAAATCCACGAGTGAGGAGAGAGGCCGAGTGACTACTTAAGAATAACATAGCAGAAGATAAAAATCTGATCCGAAGTTATTAGACAATAATATCAAAAGGAAAGTTGACTAAGATTGCCAAGTTGAAGGACGGAAGAAAGAAGGAAGGAGGAGAGCTGAAGAAACTACTGAGTGAGCTGAATATCTTAAAGGTAACTGGACCGAATAATGTACTACCATGGGTACTGACAGAACTAACAAAAGTAATGTGTTTACCACTGACTAAAAACTACAGTAAATCATTGAAAACTAATTAATTACCAGAAACGTGGAACGCACTGAATGTTGTCCCTATATATGTAACAGAGATTGCACAGGTAGAGTTTAAATGCAGACCATATCGTAGCACGTAATGTACAGTAATATATAAAATCCTAAGAGATTGTGGAGTACCTGGAGAGAAGCAGTGTCTAAACAACAGTGAACATTTGTTCAGAGACGGTAAATACTGTTCCACGAATCTGGTGTTGTGTAACAGGAATACAGATATCACAAGGCAGACAGGGATATTAGGACTGCATATTCTTGGACTGAAGGAAGACACTTGGCACTATATACATATCACAGGAGAAATGGCACAATGATTGCTCAAAGAATATCTGACGGGAAGAAAGCACTCAGGGACAGAGGATGTGTTCCCAGCACTACTGATCCAGACACAGGAACCCCAAACAATTACAAAAACTAGTACTACCCACAGGTACCACCCCCACCCACAATTCCCTTTCCACCCATACGTATCTCATCCACCCACATATACCATCATCATAGAAATATGTACTATCATTACAATCACTACAACAACAGTGTAGAACCACCACTACCAACAGGTGCCACTAAAAACCACAGCAACAGTACGATGCCTTAGTTCTTCAAACTGTCTCCTCCAGCCTCTTCCAAAGAGAGAGAGAGAGGAGAGAGAGAGAGAGAGAGAGACAGACAGACAGACAGACAGACAGAGAGACAGACAGACAGAGAGACAGACAGACAGAGAGACAGAGAGAGACAGAGAGACAGAGAGACAGAGAGACAGACAGACAGAGAGACAGAGAGACAGACAGACAGAGAGACAGAGAGAGACAGAGAGACAGAGAGAGGCAGAGAGAGACAGAGAGAGAGACAGAGAGAGACAGAGACAGAGAGACAGACAGACAGAGACAGAGAGAGACAGAGAGAAAAAGAAACAGACAGACAGACAGACAGACAGACAGACAGACAGAGAAACACATATAGGGAGCCAGACAGACATGTGAAACAGCATACAGACAGACAGACAGACAGACAGACAGACAGACAGAGAAACACATATAGGGAGCCAGACAGACATGTGAAACAGCATACAGACTGACAGCACACAAATTGACAGACCAGATAATGACAGCACATAGATTGATAGATCACGCACTAACAGGATATAGATTCACATATCAGACACTGACAGCACACAGACGGACACAGATCACAGACTAACAATACACAGAGTAGCAGTAAATGGATTGGCAGCACACAGACTGAAAGCGCACAGATACCCAACACTCAGAATGACAGCACAAAGACAGATCACAGACCGACAGCACACATAGACAGCACAGACGGAGAGCACGAAAACAGATCACAAATTGACAACACACAAGCTGACAGCACACAGTCAGCACACAGACTGACAGCATACAGAAAGCACACAGACTGACAGCCAACACACAGAATGGCAGCACCAAGACAGATCACAGACTGACTGCACTTTGACTAATAGCATACAGATAGAACACAGACAGATAGCACAAAGACAGCTAGCAGACTTACAGCACACAGAAAGCATACAGACTGAAAGTACACAGATAGATAGCATACAGTTTGATCTCACAGATAGATCTCACAAATAAACTGACAGCATATTGACAGGCACAGGCTGACAGCATATTGACAGGCACAGACTGACAGCATACAGACAGCATCCATAGGCCAAGACTCTCAGCTTTCCAAAGTTAAAGCTCATCCAGCTCTCCAGAGATCAAAAGTTTCCCAGCTCTCTAGACATCAAGTGTCTCCCAGCTCTCCAGGAGTCCAGAGTCTCCCAGCTCTCCAGGAGGTAAGAGTCTCCCAGCTCTCCAGGAGTCAAGAGTCTTCCAGCTCTCCAGGAGTCAAGAATCTCCCAGCTCTTCAAAAAGGTTATGGCTTGTCTAGCCTTAATGGAAATGTTACAAAGTCTTTAAAGGTCATCTTTCTTAAACTGTTCTGAACGTCAGAACCTTAGCACCCATCCAGAGGTTACTTCCACTCATCCGAAGGTTTACTTCAGAAGTCAGGATCACTTCAGAAGTCACGATCACTTCAGGAGTCACGATCACTTCAGAAGTCACGATGACTTCAGGAGTCACGACTCCGTCAGAGGTGAGGATCTCTCCAATAGACACAACACTTCAGCTGTTTGAACGATCACGAGTTTTGGATCATCTCATTGGCCAGTGAGTCAGTACAGCTGACACAGCAGTTGTAGCAGTAACCAGCACTGTTGACACTGCAGTTGTAGCAGTAACCAGCACTGTAATCTCACATATACAACATATAAAACACATACACAACACCAGGCCAGAAAAAAAGACGAAATTAAAAAAGGAAATTAACAAAAAGGAAAAATATATATATTATTCAGAGGTTAATTTATTTAAATCGAAATTGAAGCTGTTTTTTTTTCTTGGGAGGCGAACTCACTAGAACAAGACCCAAAGAATTTCTTCCAGGTGACAGACTGGACCTGACCTCAACTGTCCTTCAATGATTCAGTTCTCAAGCTCAGAATTAAGGGAAAGGATGAGTGTTGACAAACTAGGCAAGATGCTGTCAGTGATTTGTATGCAACAGATGCCTGTTACTATGACTCTTTGTTGAGTGAGATTCATGGCTGGGAGTTTAAAACAAGCTGATGGAGGTGATGCCTAACATAACAGTCATTCAACATTCGATGAGCAAAATCCAGTAGTCCAAGGATTTGGACTTCAGGTGAGGTGCATGATTGAATGTTAGTAAAAAAAATATCCGCCAGAGTGCAATGATTTGGTTCCCAATAAAGGCAAAAACAATTTTTTTTTTTTTGAACAAGGAGATCTGAATTGATGCTGTTAGTGTGA